GTCTGATGGGCAGCTTCTGCCACCCAGACCTCCCCCCGCAACATCAAACCATGACAAAAGGGAAATAAGAAAAGCTTCTACAGATATATCAGCAGTGAAAGGCAGATGAGGGAAAGCAGGGCTCACTACTGCAGTGATCTGGTGATACAGGACATAGAAAAGTCTAAGTTACACAACATTGTTCTCATCTCAGTTTATGGGTAAGATTTGCCCTCAAGAATTGAGGCCCCTGAGACCTGTGGGAAAGTCTGCAGCAGTGAAGACTTACCCTTGGCAGAGGAGGAGCAGATTAGCAAACATTTCAACAAATGAGACATGCACGCATGCATGGCGGCACCCCATGGGGATGCACTCACAAGAGGTGAGGGAGCTGGCCCATGTCATGATGAGGCCACTCTTGTTCATCTTTGAAAGATAATGGTAATCTAGAGCATTCAGAGCACTGAATGTTGTTTGTTTTGACTTTAACAAGGCTTTCAACACTGTCTCACGTAACATCCTGACAGGTATATTGAGCAAGTAAAGATGGGATAAGTAGACAGTGAGGTGGAATAAAAATTGCTGGGCCAAAAGTGTTGCAATCAGAGGCTCAAAATCCCGCTGGAGGCCAGTGCCCGGTGGTGTTACTCCAATGATCAACACTGGGACCAGTACTGTTTAACATCTTCCTTATTGACAGAGACAATGAGACAGGGACTACCCTAAATTTGGAGGAGCAGTTGATACATGAGATGGTTCTGTTGTCATTCAGAGGACCTTGACAGGCTGGAGAAATGGGTTGACAGAACCTCATAAAGTTCAACAAACAGAAATGCAAAGTCCTGCACCTGGAAAGCAATTATCCCATGTACCAACACAGGCTGGAGGCTAGGAAGCAGCTTGGCAGAAAAGGACATAGGGGTCCTTGTGGACACAAAGTTGAACATAAGCCAGCAATGTGCACTCACAGAAAAGAAGGCCACCAGCATCCAGCGGGCCAAGGGAGGTGTTTATTCCCATCTCTTCAGTACTGGTGAGGCCACTTCTGGAGTGCTGCATCCTGTTCTGGGCTCCCCAGTATGATGCACACATGGACACACTACTGGAGTGAGTCCAGTGAAGGGCTACAGAGATGATTAAAAGATTGGGGCATCTGTCATATGAGGAGAAGCTGAGAGAGCTGGAATTGTCTAGCCTAAAGGAGATAAGGCTTAGGGAGGATCTCTTCAATATGTATAAATACCTGTTGCGGGCGGGGGCAGGAAGCGGGAGTCAAACTCTTCTCACCCATGTCCAGTGACAGGACAAGAAGCAGTGGGCACAAACTGAAATATAAGAAATTCCATCTAAGCATAAAAAACTTTTTCACTGTGAGGGCAGTCAAATGCTGGAATAGGCTTCCCAGAGAGATGGTGTAGTCGATGTCCTTGTGGATAATCAAATTCGACTGGACACAGCCATGGGCAACCTAATCTAACTGATCCTGCTTTGAGCAGAAGAGTTTGACTAGGTGGTCTCCAGAGGTCCTTTCCAAACTTAAGTACTCTGTGACTCTCTGATTCTGATTTATTTAGCCATGGACTATACAGCAGTGTAAGTACCTTTGTAATAATGTATGCAAATACCTCCTCGATGTACACACAACTTTTCTAAGGAAATCAAACAAAAGCTTTATCACCAGTGCTTGCTAGCAGCATTCAATTTAGCTTGTTTTTTGTTTACGAAGACAAACCAGCAATATCAAATTATTCAACAAAATATATAGGCTAGCTAGGGTATAACATGATGAAATTAAAGTCCAGAATTAAAGACTGAGAATAAACTTTCTGAAATGCTCCTGTATGGTGAACTGAGCACAGAAAACGGCAGATGTATGTTTTGTGGTGTACTTATTCACCTCCATGCATCTACAAAGTAATATTAGTTGGTTTTTCCTCCTCTAATTTTCTTGGTTCTTTAACATTTGTATGTCAGTTCTTTAAAATTATGCAAAGATTTATTTTTTTTTCCTCAGTAAAATTTCCTTAAGTTTACAAAAATAAGAGACATACCCTGTTCAGCAAAAAGGGAATGCTTGAAGTTCCTAATTCGTTTATTGGTTTTGGATGAAAGTAAAGTCTTAGTCATTCATAGTCGCAGTATTTATTCTTGCTGTCTATAATAAAGAAACCAAAATGTCCCAGTGCTATTCATGGTCATGACTTCAGTGGAATTGATAGTGGAACTTGCTCCAGCTGTAGAGAAACGAGCAGGCTACTGTCATTCTTACTCTTGACAGTTGTCCTTAAAGGTAATTTAAAATCTTCTGATGCGTGCCTTCTCTTTAGAAAGGTGGCTGACCAACATCTTACAATGAAATACTGAAGATGACAGTGTATAATACCAGTTGTGGCTATGGTAACCTAAAATACTAAGACCTAGCTAAACTCATAAAGCATGCAGTAACTTTAAGATGCCATCTACTTGATGGCATGTCTCAATGGAGACAAGCATAGAAAATATATTTTCAAGGAACCAGTAATTTCTGATGCCTTAAAAGCCAAATGTCCCAATATGCTGTCTCTTTAAGAAGCTGATTTTTGGAGAATGCCTATGTAGGGAATTGCAGATCTTTCAGACTGGCACTTAACATTCTCAACCAGAGACCCAGACTTCTGACTTGGGCATCAAGTTTCAAATTAAGTATACAGACGCACTAGTTCTGGGCCATTACAATGAGATCTTGAACTTCTGACTTGGGCATCAAGTTTCAAATTAATTAAT